AGTGGGAACATTCTAAACAGTTTTTCTTGTGTGCGTGCATGTGTGCGTGTGTATGTATTTTTCTTTCCAGCTGACCAGTTCTGAGCTTCGGTCCCGATCTGACTGACTGCACCATTTGTGGAATGATAGAGGACCAAACTGCCAGAATCCTAAGAGGCCAAGAAGCTGTGAATTATTACAGCTGCTGTTTTCTAACTGCCGAAAGCACTGAGAGAATACAAAGTTTTGTTAAGGACCGGTTTTCCCCTTGCTACCTTGCAAACTCAAAGGAAGCCCTGAAAGCCCCAAACCCTAAAAAATAAAATCTATTTGAAACAAGTCAACACTTTGTATTTGTGGTCCAAGATCTGTTGCTCTCCAAGCTTCCCTGCTGAAGGTTTTCTATTAATTGAGCCCTCAGTCCAATAGTGGGCTCTCTGCCTCTGGCCTTCCCCTGTCTACCATAGCTGTGATGGTTAAAAGCTTCTCCGGTTTGTCACAGAGTTTAATATGCACCCTACATAATTATGCAGGATTCACTGTGCTATCAAACTGCAATTCAAATTAGTTCAGGATTAAAGGCACAGAACAGTACTGCTTCCTTAATTGCATTGTACTGTGCTGATCACATTCAAATACCCATTACTCATTCCCTCTGTGGAGCAATAAGTCAGGGGGATTAATATTCAGGCAGGTGACAGGGCCAAGCCATTAAAAGGCAGTTATGCAGAAAGCATGGCTGGTTTTATTCACGTTAATGAAATCAGTGAAATGAAACTGTAATAGATTTATCAAAGCTCAGATGGATTTGCTGTAAATCAGTTTGATTCAAGCAATCAAACTGGACAATAGAGATAGTTTTCAGCTCTAGCAATGGGTGTCAGGAAGCAGCATGTGAAAAGTGCTGATATTCTTCATGTATGGATTTGATATCCACCCTGTGCACAGGCCTATTCCCAAACCACTGCTGCTAATTTTTTTGTCTTTTGAACTAGGTGCCAGTGGCTGATAAAACATACAGCATATCATCTTAATACAGCACTTACACTGTTTTTATTCCTCATTTTTAAGTCCCCTAGAACATCAATTCTTTCCAGTTGCCGGCCAGGAGAAAAGGAAAGTTTGATAGAGCACAAATTAGCATCGCTGCCCCTCTACTGCCCAGGAGAGGAGTGCAACTTTAGCCGGGGTGACCCCACACAATTAACAGGAACATCTCCTACGCAAGCACTTGTACAGGAGGAAAAATGATCGGATCACCATTGCATAGCCTGATGGGTTAGGGCGGGAGGAGCTCCAAGAGGCTGAAAATTTACTTTTGTTCTGGGTCTAATGAAATAATTTGGCATCCATTAGAGGGCAGCATTAGAACAAAAACTAAGCAGAGGAAGGGCGGGTATCCCCCGCAGATAGGCAAACACCTTGGCCGGGGGGGTAAACTTTTTCGATGCAGTAATATTTTCCAAGGGTAAAGCCAATGCCTGGAGAAGGCGAAGTAATGGAGAAGATGGGAGCAAATCCCACTGTTAGAGGAGAGCGACGCCAGCACGGCATATGCCAATTTAGCTTTAGGGAGCTTTCTGTCCCTACATTAACTCCCTCTCCTCCTCAACCCTCTTTAGGGTTAAAGTACTTCTGTCTTGAGCTTAATGATCTCGTGAGTATTTTGCGGACGGTGTTTCTGTTGGAACGGCAATGAATTGTGAAATAGTGATCCGGTTGTTTTCTTAAAAAGTACATCACGCATTGTAGGTTATACTCAAACTACTCTAATTGGTCTAATTTTTATTTATTAGAAACAAATTGTTTGAGAACGAAAGCCAGTTTTTAATGATCCAAAACAGAAATAAATGTTCTAGTCTATTAGCGTCCTATACGGAATAAATCAATATTAAAGCTAATTAACCCTTTTCAAAGGCATTTTGTCCCAGGTTTTTATTTAATGGTTCAGTGCTGCTTAAAGCATGGATCAGGCTGGATAAGCTCCATTTAAAAAATGGCCCATTTTGAAAACAGTTTAGCAGTTCACTTGGACGAATGTATTTATCAGGACAAACTTGACTTTTTCAATTGTACAAATAACTGACCAGGGTTCCTTAAAAGACCCGATAATAAAATAGAGATTAAGGGCCATAGACAAATCTGTTCATTTAGGAATGTTATAACATTATAGGTGCTGCCTTCTTTCACTGCTTTTTAAAAAATATCTATCTTTAGAAATATTTTAATCTTTACTTTTGAGGATATTCCTAAGGGTGGAGGGAGGGAGTCTCCATATAAGATATTTCATTCTAGGTCATATGTGAAATGCAAACCTATAATTTGTCCTTTTTGGAAGAAGCCATGATTTTTTAATAGTGTTCAAACACATAGTGCAAAGCATACACCTTTCAGGACATAAATGACTACTTTGACATATGAAGCCCAACGAAAATTATATACATTATTTAAGGAATTCAGCACTCTTCCCCTTTTGTTATACTAGCAAATTACAGGATGTATTTTAATATCAAGCTATTTTTGAGTTATAAAATAGATGATATATTTTGTACACGAATTAAATTCTTCACGGTACCAGAGGAATTAATTTGTGATGCTATGAAAATTCGATTAGCCTGCTGTAAAATCAGAATTGTTTACCACAAGTGTCTGGATTCTGACTCTTACAGTCTTTCCAAACAAATAATGAAACGAACTGGGGCTTGGGGTGGCAGGAGGGGGTGTGGGCAGAGTAATTTATGAAAACATGGTACACCATAATTTTGCCATTTTTCTGCAATAAGGATGGCAAATGATTCATGAGATAAAATGAAATATTTCTCACTGTCATTTCAATGGATCTGAGATTTACAGCTTCTTAACTTGAATAGGAAAAACTCTGTATGCATAGAAATGAATTGTAAATTAATTAATGATGGGGATGAAAAACAACAAAAAATTGATTTTAAGCAAAGAAGAAAAAATCTAACAAGCAACAAATGAAAAGGGAGAAGCAGAGGCTATTTACTGTAAAGACCTGTGAAGGAAGGAGAGAGTGGAGAGGGAACTGCTTGCTTAACAGAGGGCGGGCGTTGGGGTCAGGTTAAAGGAAAGTGATACGTTGATCAAGCTCATTACATTTACATCGCTTAGACAAAGAGGAAGGGAGCTTTTAAAGCAAAATCAGATATGCCTAAATTGGATTTTTTTAAAGAAATCACAAAAAAGTTAGAGCCAGTTTTATCATATGAGGTTAGATAAAGAAAATCTGACCATGAAAAAGCAGCCTCCAGTTCAAGATTCTCCTTTACCCAAACTGTTTTTGTTTAGGCACCAGGGCCAAGAGGAAAAATAAAAAATGCTTTTACACCTCCAACCCTCTGAAACACCACACTGAAGGGAAGGGAGCCAGCAGCCAGTGAAGGTGCGAACCTGGGCACTACAGGGGTACCTGGAGAATGAGAGCAGAGAGATTCTGCTTAAGACACACAACAGTGGGCTTCAATGGCTCAGAAGCTGGGGGAACCCACTGTACCACATGCCATGCTCTAATATCCGAGTGAGTACCGATCCTGAGTCTCTTCCACTGAAACAGGATATGTTGTCTATGACCATAGGATACACACTTGAACCTACAAAGTTTCAAGCAATCCCAATGTGAATAAGGATAACTGACAGGGAACGGATGGTAGCGTTTGCTAAGCAATGTAATTCGATGCCAAATGTGGAGAATGAATATAGCCCTGATCATTCTGCAAAAGTGGTATTTTGCTTAGATCACATAAATCATACTATTCCGGGTCAAGTATTTAACAAAATCCAAAGGTATTTATTGAGCTGTATAAAGGGCCCACACCCTTCTTAGCACAGGACCTGCAGGACTGTCTCTGGTGTCATCATGGTTCACATATTTCACAGGTGTGGTAGCTAATTAGGGACCTAAACTACAAAGCACAGGTACAAAAGGCTCATCAACTCCATCTCCTATACAGAAATTTTCATTACGAGTGAGGGGCCATAACCATTTAAAACTTCCCTGGTTGGCTTCCTTCCTAAGTCAGGTGTCACCAGGTGCAATCTGCCACCAGTGCTGGCCAAAATTGCAAAATTACTGATGTCAGTATCTATTTCACTTTCTTTGATCTTCACAAACTTTACACATTTTGAAACTGGGAACAATGTATTTTGACAAATTTTATGTTGACAAATTTGAAAGTGCTATAAAATTTGGTAAGTTAGATCAAAATGAACAATGATTTGAGCTACTATATATTTTTTTTCAGGCACTCAACAAACAGTTCATTGTTATAAGTCAACTGGGAGCCAGTGCTCTGGGTTATGCTATACAATTTCAAAGAATTTTCAGAAGCTCACCCAGGCCTTCAAGCAGGCAAACCAAGAGGCAGTGCATCTAAACCAGAATGGAGACTACGCTCCTTATATATGTGGAAATTAAAACCTATAAAATAACATAGGCATTATAAAATTTGTGTTAAAACTGATAACAGCTTTACTGATTTACTGACAATGAAAATATATAGCATTTTTCTGTCAGAGCATTTATCAACACTTGGCAATCCTACACCAACTTGACATGTAAGATGATCAAAATGGATTATGTAATCTTTCTCATTCATTTCTATTGATTTTAGTTATGATAAAATTCATCAGTGTGCCTGGGAATGCTCAGGCTGAAAGGCTCTGGTTGACAAAAAAAAAGAAGAAGAACAAAAAAGGAATTCAACAGAGTTGTAATAGGATGAATATAATTTTAGAATAAGACTGCACAGATACAGAAGTCATGCCCTAAAGGCTCCAGCAACAAATTAATACAAATAAATCTGGCAGTCACATAAAATTACATCTGTCTATGCAGGGATTCACTTTTGAGATAAAATTTCAAAAGTGCAAGCTAAAATAATTAATGTGCAAGTGCAATTAAAAATAGAGTTTGTGAAAATATTTTCAAAGTTCTTTTTAAACTTCAGCAGTAATCAAAGTTATTTCTCTGGCTGCAAGTAACATCAAAATGCCAGCAAATGGACCATTTTAATCAGTTTTATTGATTCATGCTTTCAGTTCTTATTCAGTTAAAAACAAGGCACATTAAATACATCCTCTTATTGCTCTATAAATGCATGCAGCTCATTCTGTATATCAAAAGTAATAAATAATGGCGATAAAACACCAAGACAGTTATAAAAATGACAACCCAGCCTCAAACACAGTATTTAACAGTCCAATCCAGAACAATAACCCAACACAATACATAAAAATGCCACATATGAAAACATGCAGTGTGTACTGCCACTCTGGTAGTGGGATTATACCTGATGCTTTAAAAACACAGTAGGGCTTTTTTACTCTCTAAAAAGACATAATGCAAAACAGTGCAAGTTATTAGCGTCATAGATTCAATATTATTACATTCATATGCCAAAAATCTTTACAAATACATTTAAAAAAGGAAATAAGATCAATGATCATCCTTACAGTATGTTTAGTAAAAGAATGAAATTTTTGTTGTTGTACAAAAGAGTAAGCTACATATTTTGAAAAAGACAAAACAAAGCTAGAAACTAAAGCAGAATAGGGAGCATGCATCTAGTAGTAGAAATCCTAAAGTTACACTCAGTATGAGTTGATTGGAAGCAAGAATATTGCCAACAGCATGATGGATATGAGGCAGACAACCTTGGCTTAACAAATAATCCAGCATGATCACTATTGTTCTGAGTGCGGTAAGGACAATTTAAAGGAGCATCCAGCTCTCCACCACAGGGGTTCCTTCACCTGAATCCCCTTAAAGGCTCTTTAAATAAAAATCACCTGACGATTAAAAAAAAACAACCTGCACACCCCACACCCACCCCAACATAATCAGCTAATACCATGTTTCTCCAAAAAGACAAAAAATTCTTTTGCGCTTGGAATAGATTTTGAAGGAGTTTACACCCCCAACCCCCATTTTCTTCTCTCCTTTTCTGAAATCAGGTAAAGAAGCTGTACAGGTTTAATTAAGAACTTACGCAAAAATGCGGGGTGCTTTATTCACAGTAAAGACTTGGAACCAGCTCATTTCCAAGACAAGTCTCTGGGATTGGTGAAGAAGCGTATGTTTTAGAATTAGCAGATTTTAAGCCAAAGCAGATATGCTCAAAAGAAGAAAAGTGCGCTTTTTTTTTGTCCTTAAAGGAACTTCACTCATAGCAAGTCGTGCATAAACAAGGCCTCTTTACAAATACAGCTCTGCCCAGGCCAGTCAGGTTATAAACCCGGTCCCTACTGTAATGGATTCAGGGAGGATACAAGCCCATCGTTATCTTGATTTAACTAGAAAAGGAGAGAAAGAAAGAGAGAGCATAAATGTACAATACTGCGGTACATCATCTCTCATGTTGTAAAGGACAGCTCTTCTATCTATGAAGTGTCACTGGGTTCTAAACAGTGAAATTTATTGTCTTCATAGAAAAACACTAAATTACAAAGCCACGTGATTCCATTATTTAAAAAAAAAGCCACTGTAAAAATCACACCTTGAAAGAAAAAAGTTCACAGTGATACCTGGGAGCGTCACTTGCTCTGTCTTAGGTTTTCCTTTAGGAAGTGGCAAGTCTAAACTTCATTTTAAAAACAAAATGAGTTAATATGCTACCTTAACTGTCTGTTTCAGAGGTGAGGATGGGGGCTTAGATGAGTGAACCTCCAGTGTGTACATTATGACATACAGGCTCGTACCCCACTTGAATGAGGCATAAAGATATTCTACAATGTTGACATATATAGAAATAACAGCACAACAGAGTTTTATCTACCAGTTTTAAAAAAATTAAGATCTCAAGCCTGCACAATGAAAACCTAATGTTAAATAAAGGGTTACATTTCCTATTCATACACAACATGATATTAAAAATAAAAAAGAAAGTAGGTCGTTAACTTCACAAGAGGAAACACAACGAATAAACATTCAGATGACTGGCTAAAGTGCCACCAAAGTATTGCAAAAGCATACCAGACTGGCCCTTTAAATTCAATATATTATACATTGCAGACTGCTTTTTCCTTTTGTTTTGTGTCTCTGTGTGTATGTGTGTGTGTGATGCGGGATGTGTGTGAGTGTGTATTGGGTATGGTTTTCTTTCTTTTTTTCCTTTTTGGTTGATTGAGAACTTTTCCATTGAGTACAGAGGAGAAGAGGCTTTAAGCAATTAAAATTACCTTGAACATGGCAATTTTGTGCCTTTTTACAAATAATTAGAACTGAAGTTAACGAAAGGCTATTTCAATCCTCTTTTACTGTTTACAAACACCCCCCTAAAATGTGATAACCTAAGTCAAAGAGACCATATCTGACAATATCACATGTTCCAAGATTTAGGATTTGGGGACTGAAAATTGTGCTATAACATGTGGACATATAAACACAAGTTTTTAATCCTTAAATTTATTAGTACTGTGAAGATTTGAGAAATTCAGTCTCAGCCCACTACATCCAACCTGCCACTTCAGTGCTGGTTTTAAAGTAAGAAAAGCCAGGATCTTCCTGGCAACGGTAATAGTCAAAGAAAAACCAGCAGTGACTGGGGGTAAAAATGAATTGCTGAGATGAAACTATCACTGTAACTCCCAGAAATGTCAATGCTATCCTTAACTTATACCTGTGATTCTGGAAGCTTTCAGAGTTTCTCTTTGAGACTAGCTCTTATCACCAGATCTAAATTTTTTCCCTCTCCAGTGTTGCCAGTCATGGTCTAGATGTAAAGTTGCACAATACTGTTTGGATGAGGAAGGCAGACAAGCTGGAGGAAGAAGGAGCTGAGGGGTCTCCAGAGACACTATTGTGTTAATAGGTCACACCCTACTCAATTTCTTTTAAGAACAAATACTATCAAACAAGCTTAGTACACGTGCTGCCGAAGCGAACACTTAAACAAGCTTAATATCCAGAGCTTTGTGCGTGTCGCAAAATGTTTCCAGCTTCTTTTTTCAATTTCTGCCTAGATATTCTGCCTCTAAAACTGACTTTGAATAAATGAGTAAACAAACAAAAAAGGAGTATGTCCAGTCTAACAGGTCACAAAATGAATGCAAAACATTAAACCAGTGTGCATTGAAAATGAGAAAAAAAATAAAATACACTTTTAAGAAGCTAGATTGAATGGCAAATACAAATAAAGGGTATACATCAACGTCCTACAGCTTTGGAATGTTCCCCAGTGTTAAAAAAGGCAGCTATCCATATCCACTGTTCGGAGTGGTGTAAGTCATCTGTGGTTTGTTACATGGTGATTTGTTGTTCCTGTGTTTGTTGGCTGTGGATTTACTGCTCAGACTCACAGTCCTCCACAACTTCGGTCCACGGGGATGGGAACTCTTCTGTCGAGATTCTCTTCTGCAGTTTTCATTAGTATAGCCAGCCGGCTTCCAGACACCCTTCCTTTTTGAATAGCACTCATCAGCTTAAAGAGAAAATAGGCAACAGATTCAGAAGGCAGCCAGCATACTCCCTTCTTCACGCCCGCATTGAAAACTGAAAACCAGAGCAGGTACTACAGCTCAAGTCAGAAGAGTACAATTTTCAAACATTTCAAAAAGGGGGAAAGAGGCAGCTATTTCACCACTGCTGCAAAAAAATACAGCTGTTTTGCAAATCAGCCTGCCTTCAAATGCAAATTAATGCATCACTTCTTGCCCCTTAATGTGCTCAGAGCATTTTTTTTTTGAGCAACTCAAATATTGAATCTTTAATTCCATTTAAAAATCTTAAAAAGGAATCTCAGGGATTGAACAAAGACAAACCGTGACCTATATTTAACTACTCTTTTTTAGTGTTACTGTACTTGACAACTTCAAGTCCCCCAAATCCAAATTCCTTAAAGACTTTTTAAAGTAATTTACATTTAAATCCTTGAAAATGGACCCAGAGATCTACCTTAAGAATTAAAAGCACTCCACAGCCCAGATTTTAGCTAATTCATTTTTATCCAATGGATAAAATCAGAATTAGTCTTGAAATTACATGCAGTCAGCAGGCAAAGGCCTTTAATCTGGAAGGCACTGTGCAATTATGAGCATGGGGATGCTTTTTTTTCCTTTTTAAGTTGATGTGGTTTTAACTATTTGCTTTTCTTGATCTCACTTCCCCAATCTTTTTTTATCTATTTATTTTTAAAAGAACTGATATAGCCAAGCATTAGGGAAAATATATAATATATATATTCTCAAAATACTTTTAGGGTTATAGTTTTTAGCCTACAGAGATACATTTCTTAAAAATGACTCCGAATAAGAGTCTGAGACATCTGCTAAGGGGCTGGATCAGAATTTCATGACCTTATTAAAAGCTGTTTCACAAGCTATTGCTTATTAGAGATGGACTCCTACACACAGAAGTGTCATTAGAGCCCAAACCTAAAAATAAAGTCATGCAACCATGCAGTATCTATAGTGATCCTTTCGTGAGGGTTATTAAAAATATATCTACATTCAAAAAGGTGTTTAATGGGATAACCATAGGCTTTTAATCCTCAGAAAAGGAAAGTACTTTATTAAAAACAAAACAAAACCCTGAAAACATACTTTGCATCCGATGAATGAAGAATGCTGACATCTAAAGACAGAACAATTTATTGTTTATTGTTTTGTCTCTGACTCAATGAAGACCTTCAAAGTTTATCAGCATGAACAAGACTGAGAGAGCCAGAGTTTTTTTCTTTATCCATAAACATTATATGGTGTACCAACCTTTACAAACTCAGAGTTTCCTTTAACCATTACATATATCTTGAAAACATATTACAAGAAAAACATAATATTTGGGTGTGAATGTATTTCATAAGAAATATGGTCAGCATTTTTTAAGTTGAAAATTACACTGTGTATTTGTACTTAGTAGAAGCATGAATAGTCTCTTTCATTTAGAATTGGACAAGAAATACTCAATTATTAAAAAAAAACTCTAGAAGAAAACCCACAGATGGTTTAAATTATTTTCTACATGTTTAACTCTATTGCACTCAAGAAAATTACTTAAAACCTGACCTACATATCATATCTATAAAATTAGACTCATTGTTTCTAAAGCCTTGGGTCTTTGAACCCTAAATGCTGCTGTTTATTTGCAATGTATGAAATGAAGCATCAACTATTTCCTTGAAGTAAAGTTTTCTGCAATCCGGAAACAAATAGTAAGATTTTTCTCAAGAAAAAACTCGACCAAAAATGTATTAAATGGTTTCTAATTCCCAAGCATACATTTTAAACTCAATTTCAGATGCGCACTTAGTTAAACAGTAAGTAAGCTAAAGCACTAAACATTCTTTTTTGTAATGCTGGACACAACCTGTGAAAATTTTCTACATTTAGATTCAACAATGCTCTGATCTGCAGCTCATCTCCAGAGAGACAATTACCATTTCCTTTGCCTTGATCTTGTTTGTTTAACTTGACACAGTGAAGAAAGGGCTGACATTGACCAAAATCCCCAGCATTAATTTATTTCATGTTCAGCATTCATCATTGCCATGGTGCGAGCAAGACCCAGCATTCATTTGAAATACCTGCCCAAGAAGCACTACAGAAAAAACCTGGCTGCTGGGAAACCAATGCATTCTTCATAAGATCAGTGTCCTGTGGACAGCTACAAATAATGGATGGGTTTGTTGAATTTCTTTCTTTTAAGGAATGATGTGTAGCATCCAGTTTGAAGTTAAAGGAACAAAATTTACTCCCTTCATTGTTATGATTAAACAACTGAGCCTTGAGTAAGTGGAAAATTGCAAAAGAAATGCTTGAATTATGTGGTCTTGACCTTAGAATACAGGTTTCCTTTCTTTCACTTTTCAGGTTCTTTAAAATATAAGAATATAACCATTGCATTTCAGGTTCTCAAATGAATACAATTCTGATTTCTTTAAACTTCCTTGATTTAAAATATACTTTCCACAGTAGACATAAAGAAGGGTCTGTTAGTGGAATCCCATGGCATACATCTTTATAAAGCACGCTTCTAATTCAGCCCTTTAAGCCATGAGTAACTTAGATTTAATCTAAATTGTCCAACACAACATAATGTGCCTTAGAAAAAGAATAGGCACCTTATCCTTGAGGGCAGACATAACAACCTTTGCTGGATTCATGCTCTCTTCTTTTTCAGAATGAAGTGACAACTATGTGGACTTAAAAATCCATTCCTCAACATCCAGCAACAAGCAAAAGATAAAAAAAATAAGTACACTTGTTTCCCTTCACCACAACTCACCTGCAAAAATTCATTGAGTTCAACCTGGCCATTTTTGTTCAAATCTACTTCATTCAGAATTTCATGTAGTGTATTTTCATCCATTTGGACACCGATACTCTAAATAAAAGGAAAGCACAAAGTGATGAAGTTTCATGAAAAATTATGCACATCCTTTTATTAATGTTACCAGCCTTTCAAAAATTCAAAGAAAAATATTACTTATAGAAAGCACTAGATGAGAAAAAATTACCTAAAATAATCTTTACATTCCTCTGCTATCAAAGGCATTGAACGGAAAAAAGAAAGTATTACCTCTAATACACGCTGAACGTCAACAATGGTGATAAAGCCCTTCTGGTCTGCATCAAACTTATGAAATCTCTTCTTGTATCTGGAACACAACGTGGAATAATGGGAAAATACACTTAGGTAGGTGAAGACAGAAAAAAAAAAAAAAAGAAAGAAAGAGAGATACAGAAACTTATTAGAAGTACCTGTCAATGTCTGAAGGCAGTAGGCTAATCTCAGAGCGATCTGTTAACTGTTCTGATCGAGATTTATAGCCCATTTCATAGTAGAGAAACTTCCTGGCTGTTTCAAGTTCTTCCTAAAACACAGACACACACAAAGTTCAAAGATTTATGGAAAGAATTATTGATTTTTTTTCTCTTTTTTTCCCTCCCATTTGGTTTTCTAAAAAGAAGCTCATCCTCATTTTTCTGGCCAGCACAACTTTTTATTTCCTCCAGTTTTATGGATATAATTTAAATTCAACAAAATCCACCTAGTTTGATGTTGACTTCATCATGATCAAGATATACAACATTTCTATCCCCTAAAAAGCCTCCTCATTCCCACTGCAGTTGAGTCCTCCCCCCGACCTCTAGCCCCGGCAACCACTGATCTGCTTTTTGTCACCAAAGTTTCACCTTTTCTAGAATTTCATATGAAAGGGTTCATATAGTACGTAGATTTCTGTGTTTGACTACTTGCATATAGCATAATAATTCTGAGATTCATTTGTGTTGTTGCATGTTTTAATAGTTTTTTTCTTCTTACTGTTGAATATTCTTCCACAGTATTGACTAGCAAAATCTACAGGACCACATCTCTGTGGTTTGGTGACAAAAAAAGCAGTGAAAAGTGAAGAAGATATCTGGGACTTGAACAACTATAATAATGTGGCAAGAAGTACCAAGACAGACATCACGGGATTAACTAATAATAAAATTTTGTCACTGGGATGCTGAGAGTTGGGTGGAAGTTACAGAGTCATGAGAAGAAACAAGTTATTCTAATGAACAGTTAACTCTTCATGTTTTCAATGTCCCCAGCCCCAACTGATATTGCCTATTGCTCAGAATATTGTCTTTCTTAGATTTCATCACACCAATCTCCCAACTAAGAACTTCCAAAATGGCACCATTGCACTGTGCATTCTTCACAAATATCTCTTTCCTCTCATATATACACATATTATGTATACACACTTCTCTCCCTGTAAGTATACTTCTCAACGCCATTGATGTGAGTCTGAACATGTGATTTACCTCGGCCAATGGCACATGAATGGATATGATATACGCCGCTTTTAAGTAAAAGCTTTAAATACAACTGCACAGCTTTGCTTAGCCTCTCTTGCTCCTGTGTCACGAGAAGGGCCTGAATCAGAGAGATCTGAAGCCAATATGAAAATAGGAAGAAGAGTCACCGCAGCTAACATGCAGCCTTCATGTAATATGAGTGAGAAGTAAGTGCTTGCTACAGCAAACCAATGAAATTATGAAGTTGTTATATAGCATAACCTAGAAAATGCTTACTAACACAAGTCTTAAATCCTCCAGACTTCCCATCAAAGGATCTTACTATGTCAATTTGTGGACCCAAATTCTGGTCTGCAGAATAGTGCCAGTGCAAAGTGAAACAAAGACAATAAAACAATGGCACATACACCTACATGAAATGTGACAAGTCCCTTCACTCTTTTTTCTTGGGGAAGATAAACTTTTTTCTGAGATTATTCCCTTTCTACTTTCCTTTCTCTTAGGAAAAATATATATATTTTAAAATATAAATCTATAAGGAAGATATATATACTATATATATATATATATATATAAACTGAGAGTTTTTAGCATTTCTAACTTTTCATTTTGCTGTGTAAGAACATTAAGAATGTTATTGCATTAAATGTTATATATTTTTATTATATATTAAATATAATATATTTAATTTTTACATGTTATATATTCTCTATATATACAGATACACATACACATGATATATACGGTATACATAAAACTTACCTTTGAAGCCACCAAGGACGTTCCCTCACCAGCAGATTACTCTCTTCACACAAGAAAATTCACTAGCTATAAATAAGATTATTCCTCTGTTGCACGAATTTTGCCCAGCTATTTTCTACAAAACTGGTTCAAGATTCACCTCCTTGGAAGTGGCATCTCCAATGCTCCCCTCCAAGAACAAGCCCTTCCTCAAGTTGTGTCCCTTAATCGCCTGTGTAATGGGCCCATATTCCATACCAAGCAAGGAACCATGGAATTTCAAAGCTGGAAGGACTTCTTCTTTTGAAATAACCCAATGTGCCTCCCTAATCCCACATTTCATTTACAACATTCCAAAAACAGAAGCATGAGGTCTCCATCTAAAGAAGAACTCTAGCAATAGACAGGTAACTCCACTGACAGCAGCCCATAAAGGGAAGGCTCTAATTGAGAAAAATATTTATGCTGAGATTACAACAATCTGCAATTCTTCCAATCTGTTTGGGATTAACACAACTTTCCTACAGTAATTTTTTTTAAAGTCTAAGTTTTGTTGTTGTTTCTGTTGTTTTTTTCCTGTATCACAGCACAATAAATATTTAAGGACAGAGGAATTTCCTCCTTAAGAATTTTCTTTAAGTCTAGAACTACTCTCCTGTATAAGTGATTTTAAATCCCTTCACCATGATGGATAATTTCCCCTAAACCACAGCTAGTCTGTCATATAATAAAATTATCAGAACACAACACAATACTCCCACAGAGATCTGGCAAGTACCTAGAAAGAAGTAATTTCATCAATCTAGAGATATGATTCCTATTAAGGCATCTTAAGATTTTAGTTGCATTTAGGGGCAGCCATGATCCACTGTTAGCTGCAATGCATTCACAGTTAACAAAAACCGTATTTCTTTTTTGCATGTGCTACTGTTAAAGTCTTGTCAAATCTATCATGAATGGATAGAGTTGTTTTGGTACCTAACGCAAAGTTTGCCACTTATCTCTATTAAATTATACCTAATGAAATTTCACCCATTGCTTCAATTTGTCACCAAACATTCACTCTCTCTCCAGTTTCTTATTGATACACCAAAGATGCATGCCATCAACATCATAATCTAGGCAGTGGAACCACGGTAGACTAGATCAAGACCAAGGATGGAGTATTCAGGACATGCTATCAGAGACCTTTTCTGTGGACAGTGATTTTTGACCAATTACAAATTCACCAAGTTTAAAAAGATATCACATGGGTCTTCGTGAAATGCTTTATGGAATCCAAATACATTATGTCTGTAACATTTCCATGATCTAACAATCTTGTAGCTCTTTCTGAAAAGAAAATATGTCTTAAATGAATTTTTCTAAATGGTTCACTACTAGCTTCCAGTAATCACTACCTACTAAATGCTGATGAAACAAACTTACAATGCCATAATCTAGAAAACTGCCCATGATCAATGCCAAGACCACTGGCTTATGGGTTACAAGCTATATCCCCACCCCCCCACCAGCCCTTTCTCTTTTTGGAACTTGGTACTACATTTACCCACTTTCTGTCTTCGGGTTCTGTTCCTATTTGCCATAATACTTAAAGCTCAACAGTAGTTAAATAAATCCCATCTGCAAATTCTCCAAGTACCCTGAGGTATAATTTTTCTGGGTTGGCATACAGACTCACTTAGAGCAGCTTCCTACTTGAATGTCTATTTCCTCTTACCAATATTTATTTTGCTCTTCTTGAAATGAAAATCATTCTCCTTGACAAAAAGGAAAAAAAGAAAAACAAATTGGTATTAAACTCTGAGTTAAAAGGTTCTCTCCCTTCTCCGACAGTCAAGGATATGGTGCCAGGCACCTGAAGCAGCGATCTTGGCTGGGCCTTATTTGCATCCTTCTCAATTTTTGGAAGTTATTTTTGGTGTTTTTAGAATTTTTTGCCAACATTCAGCCAGTTCCTGACACTATTTTTATGCATGCTTATTAGTCCTGGGTACCCTTTCATTGTTGAGGACCTGTCTTCCATTTGTTTGACATTTGCTGTTTATCAGCTTGCTCTGTCCATAGTCTCTTCATTTCTGCACTTGCTTCCCTTTTATTCTTCTCACTGGAATCAATTTTGGAATATTTTATTTTTGTGAGACTCTCTCAATCTACCTAAGTGGTCTTCTCTAAAAGTCTCTCAGTGAAATGCATGTTTGTCTGAAGGTTATAAAATCTTCTTTACCAAATAATATGGCAGCATTTCCCAAAACATATCCTAAAGCAATACTAGCTTCCCTTCCTACCAGCCCTTCCCATAAGTGAGAGATGGGTCTATCTCCAAATAAATTCCCTTCTGGAAACTGACAACATGTATAAGCACATTAAAGGCACGAGATTATCTGCACTAAAGAAAATGGCTTCATTTGTTTACCTCAGAATTTCCCAAACTCTTTTGACCATGCAGTCATTCTTTCACTGATATTAATTTATACCCTGTAAAAACACAATTTGGCAATGTCACATCCTCTAAATGACTTCACCAACTCCTCTAGCAATCCCAGCTCCCCTGCACAACGCCTTTCACCCTAGTCAGTTATTCCAAGTTGGCTGGATTTGATCTTGAGTAACAGTTCTCTAAATTTTGGAAAATATACACACATTTCTGAGGTATATATGTGTTGTAATCACTTGATTAAATTTGAAGATTCTTGAAACTATGAGCTGTTTATTATTCCCATAAAATATTTGGTATAATGCTTAGTACATGAGTCACTCATTAAGTAATGACTGGTAAAAATAACCACAATTTATCTACGGAGAGTTATTTATCACCTTGCTCCTCTTTCACTTTTGCAAGTTAAGTAATCCCAATGCTTTTAACCTTTTCTCAGAAGTCCAGCTTTCTAACCTTTAATTCTTTTTTTCCCTCTCCTTTGTTCCCCCTAGACTGTCCACAGTTCTCATTAATACACCTCTGTCTCAGAAACTGAGTAATAACTTTAGGTCTTTTATTTCTGTTACTCTGTTTGTTAAGGGGGATGGGAGAATATTTCTGAGTACATGAATCTGCTCATAAAATCTAAATTGAAGTTAAATCTAGTTTCTTCGGCAAGGCGAACACAATCACTTTACAGAATTTTCTTCCTCCTTCCTCCTTCCTACAGCCTGAATTCCTGGCACAAAGTACCTTCCTGCATATTCAAATCATTCCAACCATAATTTTTATAGGAACACATTATCCCCAATCCTTCTATATGGTAAAAATGATTGGCAGTAGCACAGGAGTAAGTTCCATTCTTACGTTGCCTCTGTACTTAGCTTTCAATGGTCACCCCAAAACTCAAAACTGGAAGAGCTATAAGCCTGTCCTGTCCGTGCAGAGGCAACAGGGCAAGGTGGGAAAAGGGTGCACTCTGGGGTCAGAGTACCTGGCCTCCATCCCAGCTCCACAATCTGCTAGTTGAGTGAACTCTGACCAGAACTTACTCCCTGAGCTGGTTTCCTCAGCTATAAAATGGGGATAAAGATTATGCCTGGCAGAGTTG